TTTCAGCGTCGCCTTTTTATCGCTGCCCAGAGAGCACCCAAGGGGAAAGAATAAGCAAAATATTAAAATACTGCATAAATCACAATTTTAGATAGCAGAAAACTGTATGCAGTAAAAGGAGGGGGGAAACTGTGCCCAACAACCTTTTTGTCCTTTGAACTGACTGTCTTTGGAGTTTCTGACTTTCTCACCCCCCTCCCACCCCCAATTGTCATACAGCTTCTAAATTGTGCATGCTTTATCAAGCAAGACTTTAAGAGTTCTCTGCAAACTGAGGAGATCTCAAACTTAAAAGTGGTCTATTTTAACTGTCAACCCTGATGGCTACACTGGTGTTTGTGTGTGTCCCCTATATGGCCTTGTTAAATATGTAAATCATACTCAAGATATATGATGTCCTGGTTGTCGTGAAAGTTCTTATTTTTAGCAGATTACAGTTAGGGTTATGCAAGTGTGAGAAGAAAACTCATTCTGCAGAAACCAGCTTGAACCACAAATACTTTTCAGCTATCCCAAGCATCTCCCTCACTGTAAATTCTGGATTATATTCTAGGTCTCCAATCTCATGAAGACTCTATACTATTTTATGTGAAGGAGTAAATCTTAATGGCTGATAATGGCACTCCTTAAAAGTTCTTAACAATTATGCGTGCTAATGCTGCGCAAAGTATTGTGTAGTCATAGTCGCTTCATAAAGGGAAATCTATTTACACAAACACAGGCATACAAATTAACACATATCACTTACGATAAACAATAGGCTTGCTCTATTCAAGTTAACATATCTTGCTATGCAGAAAAGCAACCCAAAATGGCTTGTGACCCATCACCAGAATTCAATAGTCCCAATTAGTACAAAAGCTTTTATCTGACATACTAAGGTGAGCATAAAAAACATTTAACAGTTAAATCAGAAGATAACAAAGTATGAAAAAATAAGTTGAGATGGTCTCTGCATCATGCAATCAATTAATGTTAATTATTTATTAACAATCAAGTCACCAATCACATCATGCAGTAGGAAACCCTACGTTCTCAGCTATGCCCTGTAAAGCAAACAGCTTTTACATCTCATAGAAGATTGAAATGTTCGTTCGCACAGAAATGTTAAGCATCTAAACCATGTCATTTAAAATATACAATGATTATTTAAAAGTGAATTTAAAAACGTACTTTAAAAGATACAGAAGTGTTTCAACAATGTATGACTGTGAATTAAGTTTGTCAAAGTAGTATTTGCCAAATACAGTACTGTATCAGAAACTTGGGGTGGGGGGGCATTCTTTCTGCAACTACAGCCCAAATATTTAGGAGCCATGTTTAAACCAGAAACCTATTATCATCTTTGCTGAATCAATTAAGTTATGTTCTGAACACAAAGAAAAAGGAACTACAGTTCTATTATTACATGCATTTTGAAACCTGGAAGCAAAAAAAGGACAGCTATTTAAAGAGTCTGGACAAGTCACATGACATTGCGTTTTGAAAGGCGCTTGGGGAACAGGCGACTCTATGCAAACCTATTAGGATACCACCGCTGTTTTTTACACTGAATCTCTTATCCTCTGAAAACAACCAGCGCTACTTCAAGTGGCGACCAACTGCCTTGTACAGCATAAGGAAGGGGGAAAAAATCTCAAAGCTCTGAAAAGTTTAGGAAGTTGACATCACAAGGGAATGTGTCTGATTTTGTTGGAGATTTCGGGGAAGGGGTGTTACAAAGAGCAGAATTATTCAACCACCAGCTCCACCTTCTCAATACACTTCTTTTCTAATAAAAACTCCCATTTGTACTGGGCGATTCCTAAAGATCCAAGCATGGGATAGCTTTGCCTGCCAGCGTTTAGAAGCCATCGCTTCCCTGGAAAGAGTTTGCACCGTTTCGTCTCTTTGAAAAGAAACGGATTTATAGAATTCTGTTTGTTTGCAAGAGACGGGCGGCTGGTTGTTGCTTTTTCTCTCCTCCAGCTGGAGACTGCAAAAATCCCCCAGAGAAACCGCACGCGAAGTTTATGGCCTCCACAGTAAGCAGAAGAGCTCCCGCAGATCGGCTCCCCCCCCCCCCGCCGCCACTTTTGTTTTTTTAGGGGCTTGGAACTCTGCACGCGCTCCGCGACCGCGGTTCTCCTCGCTCTGCCCCTCCAAAGTTCTCCCTCAAGCACCGCCTGCAGGCTCCAGCGCGGTTGCCAGAGGCATTGCCCGGCCAGCGCCACTTCCTCTTCGAGAGAGCGAAAGAAAACAAGTTACCTGAAAGAAAGAGAAAAGCAAAGCCCCTTTCCTCCCTCTCCCCTTCCCCGCCCAACAACTCCTTCCGCGCTAAGTTCAACGCCAACTTTTCTGCAGGGAAAACCTCCGTGGCTAAGGAGTCCAAAAGCAGAGCTCTTTTTATTGCTTTAAAGGCGACAACCCCCCCAGCCCTCGAAAACACAAGTAGGCGCCGTCCGAAACTCAACCGCAGGGCGCTGCCACTTCTCCTCGACCTGGTTCCCCCCATCCCGAAGTTATTAATTTCTCGGTTCATTTTTATGTTTACACACACACGCACAACAGCAGCAGCACCCTTTGGGGAGAAGCCTCGCCGCCTTTCCGTCCCCCCCCCCCCGCACTCTTGAGGGAAACTTACGTTTAATCTGCCTGGGCTTGCTCTGTTTCCTTCGGGACATGCTGCTCGCCGGTATTGGTGCTGGTGGTGGCGGCTGTTGTTGTTGTTGTTGCCGCCGCCGCCGCCGCTGTTCTTGTTTCAGGTGCACTGAGAGTGTGAAAAGGGGGTGTAAGGTAAGTAGGTGCGGGGCGGGGAGGGAAGAGGGGAGGAAGGAAGGTGTGAGGGGGTGGAAGAGGGCGAAAGAGAAAGAAAGAGAGAGAAGGGAGAGAGAAGGGAGAGCGAAGCAAGTCAACGTGCCGGGTTCATAAGAGACAGGAGCTGATGGGAGATGACAGGAAAAAAGAGAAGCGGAGAGGGAGGCTAGAGCCCAAGCTAGGCAGGCGCGCGCGCGCGCACGTGTGTGAGTGTGTGTGGTGCCTGCGCGCGCGCTTGTGCGCGTGAGGGGAAGAGGGCTGTGGGGGGGCGGGTTGGAAAGACAGAAAGAAAGGGAGATTTGGCGTGTCCGGTATATTGTGTAGTGGGGGGGGCGTTAAGTGAATGAGGGAAAAGAACAGACAGAACTGTGGGGGGGGGGAGGCAAGAGAAGAGAGGGAAGAAAGGCAGGACGGAAGGAGAAGAGAGATTGGGGAGGTGGGGGAGAGGAGGAAAAAGGAGGGAGCGCGGTCTCTCCCCCCCCCCCCGCCCGCCTCTCTCTCTCTCTCTCTCTCTGTGGCGTCTTTCCCTGTGCAGATGCTGCCGCCGGTGTCGCTCTCCGAGCAGCGCTCCCCTCAGACTGACCGGCTGCGCGAGGGGTGGGGGGGTTGGCTGGAGAGAGCGCGAGAGGAGCCCCGAGGCCTATCTAGCCCAGCATCCTGTTTCCCACAGGGGCACAACCGCGGGCAGGACACGAGGGCAACTGGCGACAGCCCCCCCTCTTTCTTTCTCCCGCTGCCCTTCCCCAGATGGCATTTCAGTGGCAAACGCTGCCGTCGTGGCTAGTACTACTAGCCTAGTAGCCGGTTTAGTCGGGGGGGGGGGCGCTTGGCATGGGGGAGTTTTGTCCGCCTGGCTTGAGGAGCCAGTGGCTGCCCCCAAATGCGCACGAGACCCCGCTTATGAGGAAAGTGGCTTCCCCTCAGAGTTGGCAAAGCACCCTCCACTTCCTCCTCCTGTTGCCCTCAGTGTTTGGGTGTGTGTTTTGTTTCTTTTTTTACTCTATGCATAGCCCCCGCCCTCAAAACAGCAGCAACTGGTACCCGTTAGAACCATAGGACCGTGCACCCCTCACGGAAGTTAAGTACATATCCTGATAACAGAAGGGTACTTTCCCGCAATATAGTGGGGAGCTCCTTGGAGTCATGCTGTTGGTGTTCACGTGGGAATGTTGATTCGGGACAGAGAAAGTGGAAAAGAACCATTGCAGCCAATCTAGGGACTGCATTCACAACGCAGAGCCAGAAATGCTTAAAGGCACTTTGACAACCCAAGTCTAAAACATACTTCCTGGAAAGTATTCCATTATACTTTTTTCCTGAGTGTTGCTTAGCATGCAAATAGAGTAGTAAGAGCACTATCCAGGAGAGCTTACTCTCTAATCAGTGCTTCCGCCCCCCAAATGTTTAGGGGTACTCTCATTTTGACTCAAGAAAATCACTATTTTATAGTTCAAATTGAGGGAAATAAATACAGTAAATGGACAAAAGTACAAAGATTCACAAAATGTTTAGGTGTATGCATACCCCCAAAGGGAAAAACACTGTCTCTAATAAAGAGTGCGGAAGATTGTCTGCAATCCTTGTTGTGACTTTCCCCAGTTTGGGCAAAAAAATCAAACAATGATGTCAACTTCATAAACTTCTGAGCTTCTGTAAACAAGAATAAGATGCACTTATGTTGTGTGAAAATGTCCTTATTCTGAGTGGCAGAATTATCGGAGCCCTCAATCCCCCCCCCCTTTTAAGGCAGTCTCACAAAAGTTTCTCTCTGAAACCTGCTCCACCTTGAAACATGTGAAGTAATAATTCAAAAGACCATGCCTTCATAGATAGATTTGTCTATGTACTATGTACTAATTTATATGAATTTATTGCACTGCAATTAAGAAAAGAAAATTCTACTACCCTGCTTTATTTCATTTCATTTCATTGGATGACTCTTTTAACAAAGAGGCTTTATGCTTGTACCTTGTAAATTCACTAACGATTCTATTCTAATAGTTTTAGTGAGACAAGGGGACAGTTCCACCATGCACAGCATACTTTTGAGAAGCCCTTCATTGAGCGGGGGATGAGGAATATACTGGGGAAGGTTTACTTACAGTATTATACCCTTTTCCCCAGTAAGTGTTAAAGGAACCCAGTGTTTATTTCTCTAGCATTTCAAAGAATCAAAGTACTTTGCACAGAATTCAAAAAGCGAAGCCTCACAAAGCCGCTGGCCAAAGCCTCACAATCTAAGCCTGCACAAGGCCACAGGTGGATTTAGGGGCTGGCTGATGAGGCTTCTGATTAATGGATGGTGCAAGTCCAGGTTTCTCCCTCTACAAGGACAGGGGGCAGAAGAAACTGCAGGTGAACGGAGAGAGAAACCAATAGTTGCCAACTGAACAAGAAGAAACAGTAGGTTGTCCATTTCATTTCCCTACTTTAAACTTTGCAACAGAGCACATAGAGAGACCCAGCAATATAAATACTTGCCCCTGTGCACAGTTCACCCATTCAGATAATAGGCATTTTATTAGTCATCTAGAATGCTGCACAATATAGTAAAATCTAGAACTCACCACTTTTAAGCACACACAGATCCCAGAGACTCAAGTTATTTGTTGTGCATAGTTTATTTAAAAGCTTTCATTCTGGTATAAATTATCTATGAATAGGTTATGATCCTCATCAAATTTATCTGCTACTCAATTTTTTTTTCTTGAGAGAAGCATTTAACTTGAGGGTCATTCACTAGCTTGCCACTATCAACATTCATTATATGAATCTATATAAATTCTGAAATCATATGGGGCAGTTTCTGTATTCTTATTGGATTATTTTTTCCTCTTCACAAACTATCTGACAAAAAGAACACACATATAAATCAAGCTTAATATATGCATGTGCAAGGTTTTGAGGAACATTTATGCTGAAAATGAGCTTCTAAATGTGTTTTCATCCCTTCAGGTAAAAATAAAAAATGCACAAATATATGTTTATTAATTAAAAAATTAATATAATTATGTAAAAAATATTTAAAATTAGATTAACAGCATCTAGCATGCTCTTTGTATATTGGCCTTCCTTACAAGGTTCTCATGAATCGCTGAGAATCTATAATTTATTCACACTGAACACCTGAAATTCATTATATAAATTCTAAATATTAAGATAACTTTTTGTGCTATAAGCTAAAATAATAATTTCCAACAACTGTTATTTTTCCTGTACATGTCAACATTTCTGTTTTTTATATGGAAACTAGGTATGATTTTAATGCTTAATTCTTTTATTAAACTTTTGACGCTGCAGTTGTCTTTTGAAAACTGAAGAGCAAAAACAAATAATCCATTCTTAATTTACCCTGGTTGAAACAAAAATTTCAGCTTCATAATGGCAAATAATAATTTCAATCTGATTGTGACTGCCTTAGGTGTCTGGAAAGGTAAACAAGCAATAAAATTAAAAAACACAATTAGGAAGTCATTTCAGCTGAAGAAAAAATTAAAACAAAAATTATTGTGTTTAAATACACCATGTACATTTAGTTGTTAAATTAGGCATGACTTTAACACTCATAAGAATAAAAATCTGCATTAACTTGGACAAAGAGGAGAGAGCTCAGCTGCAGACCCTCCAAGTGTCCCTATTTTCCAGGGATGTCCCTGATTTAGAGAAGCCACCCCGATTTCTGATTTGATCCCAGAATGTCCTGCTTTTCCTTAGGACATCCCTATTTTCATTGGAGAAATGTTGGAGGGTATGGTAGGATGTCCTTATTTTCATTGGAAAAATGTTGGAGGGTATGGAGTTATTCGACTCCTGAGCTGTCTGAAGGCAATCCTGTATAGGGAAGATTTTTTTAAGGTTTAATGTTTTATATATGTTGGAAGCTGCCCAGAGTGGCTGGGGCAACCCAGTAAGACGTGTGGGGTGTAAATAGTAAAACTATTATTATGGAATGGGATGTCCCTATTTTCATTGGAGAAATGTTGGAGGGTATGCAGTTGATTAGAGCGTGGTGCTGATAACATGGTCACAGGTTCGATCCCCATGTGGGACAGTTGCATTGGACTAGATCAGGGGTCAGCAACCTTTTTCAGCTGTGAGCCAGTCCACCGTCCCTCAGACCATGTGGTGGGCCAGGCTACATTTTTTTGGGAGGAGGGGGAATGAACAAACTCCTATGCCCCACAAATAACCCAGAGATGCATTTTAAATAAAAGCACACATTCTGCTCATGTAAAAACACCAGACAGGCCCCACAAATAACCCAGAGATACATTTTAAATAAAAGGACACATTCTACTCATGTAAAAACACGCTGATTCCCGCAAGCTGGATTGAGAAGGCGATTGGGCCGCATCCTGTCCTTAGGTTACCTACCCATGGACTAGATGGTCCTCAGGGTTACTTCCAGCTCTACAATTCTATGCTGCTATTAAATATATCTGTACATTCTTATGTACAGATAAGCCATTCATACAATGTACCGGTACCTTCATCACTCTTTCAAATACATACCATACTACATACAGTCATACCTCGGGTTAAATATGCTTTAGGCTGAGCGTTTTCAGGTTGCGTTCCATGGCGACCCGGAAGTAACGGAACAGGTTACTTCCGGGTTTCGCCGCTCGCGCACGTGCAGATGCTCAAAATGACATCACGCGCATGCACAGTAGCAGCGAATCGCGACCCGCGCACACGCAGACACGGGTTGCATTCTGCTCAGGATGCGAACGGGCTCCGGACTGGATCCCGTTCGCATCCAGAGGTACCACTGTATATCACAAATGCTCAAACAGTTTTTGCTTACTAGGGATAGTCCCGGTTGTTTGTCCATTGGTTTTTAAGTGTTGCATTCTTGGCTTAGCTGCCGTGCTGGGCTGCTCAGCAGACAGCGCAGGCAGGGAGGCAGGGAGGGAGGCAAATGAACAAGGCCCTAGAAGGGGGTAGTTAGGGAGATGTGGACCAGATGGAGGGGGGCCATGAAAGAAAAGTTTGAAGAGTGGCCAAACAGAATTAGGAAAACAATCCAGAGAAGACAGGTGAAGCAAATCCAAGTAAGAGAGAATGAGCAGAAAGGAAAGGTACAGATGGCAAGGAGATGGAAGGAAAAGTAAAGTTCGTATCTTGTTCTGAAATAGCCAGTATTCTGCTAGGCTCTAGTCTATTCTCATCTCAAGCCTTTGATTGTTTATCACTGCAGATGAAAAGGTCACCAACACATAATTGTCTTCCAAGTCCCATGGCTAGAAATAGCAAAGCAAATGTCAGAGTTCTAGTCCTGCCTCCTAGTGCTCCCTGACACCAAAGGCAAGGTGCCATTAACTTCAAGGAAGCCTGAAACAGGCCACAGTCAACTTAGACCAACATAAGACAAACTTCTAAATAGAAATACAGAGCCAAAGTTCTGAGCCTTTCATGTTAGCTGCATCAGCATATCACTGATATAATCACCTTAAACTGTTACCAGAGATTGCACTCAGACTAAGCTACATCACAAACTGCTTTGCATTACCACCCAGTGACATTGGAAGGTGCACTTAAAAATAATACTTCCTAAAGCTTTTCATAATTCCCTTAAAGATGAATATGGTTGTGAGCAATATATTTCACTTTATGCTGAAGACATATTGCTGCTTTTATTATTTTTTTTAGCATTCCTTACCTGATATGACTGCTCTGTCTTACAACTGCAGCTAAACCTCCTGCTGCAAAATTAATTTGATTAAATCCAATGCTTGACCTTGTCAGCTAGTGACCTTAGACAGCACTTTGCAAACTACTACTTTCTAGAGTCTGCTAAATGTTTCACCTGTGTTGGAATACTTCTGTCTCCCATGATGCTTTCTGCCCAATAATAGGAACAATTTCTTCAAAAAATTATTTATTAGAAAAATGAGCTTGCATCCTATAAGATTGAGAGTTTTCTGGTTTACAATAAATGCCTGTATATCATGTAGCCTTTATCCATTACAACTATGGTTGTAAATATACTTGAAGTTGATACTTTTAAGGTTTCTTCAAATTAACAGAATTTAATTTTTAGTGACCTATTCACACTATGTATATATCTATATTGTTTATATACGTTTAACTTTCATGGCTTCCAGGTAACTGAGTTTGCAAAAGATGTTGAGAATTACTTATTGAAAATCACTAGCCCCCTACCCCTTCACAGATCTTCAGTTCCTATTGTTCCCTCTGGCAAGAGGATGACTGCTAAACTGGTTGAAGTCTGTTGTGTAATTATGCTCTAATAGGACAGTTTACAAATGAGATAAGCACTACTTAGTTCCATTGTTATCACCAGTAAGCGCTGAAGTAATTGGCCTCCAAGTAACAATTCTCCCCGTGAGCCTCCAATTCTGATTTGAAGAGCAAACATAAACCATAGTTTGTTGGTTTGGATGTCATGGCCAACTATGGTTAGCACTGATGGGCAAATCATTAAAATTCCAGTTCATGTCACTTTCAGATGTGTTCCTTTTGAAGTCTGTTCTGCCCTTCTCCTGCATTACTTCATGGACTTTCAAAAAACCCCAAAGAATTCTGAGAATTCTTACAACTACCCCAAAAGGTAGTTGAAGTTACGAGGTGACCCAAAGACTGCTTTAATTTATTTTATTTTATTTCCTTTTTAACAGGTAAGAGCAGCTGCCGTGTGCACTGAAAGTAGAACTGCAAGCATTTCTTGGAACAATGTGATGATGTACCCTCCCTCCCAAGGAGATTTTATGGTGGGGTTTGTGTGTGTGGAGAGAAGGCTGCAGCTAATAAAATCAGTCAAATTACAGCATTAGTTGGGATTCAGAGAAGTTGTTCAACACTGGAGATGATTTCCTTCCAGATTACTCAACCTCCACAAATGTCAGAACTCTGATGTTTGCTGCTTAGAGCTATGCTGTGCCTATGTATGGGTTGGGGACCTGATTAGAAAAACTGATTAATGAATCAAAATGAATCAAGAAACGTGGCCAAACCTGATCACTTCTATACAGTGTGTGAATGGTGGTCCCTGGGCCACCACTACAAACTCAGATGTTGTTCGGGACAAACACTAGGATAAAACAACAACAACAACAACAACAACAACAGTAAAATGGCAATTAAAACAGAGCCTGAAATCAATATCATTACAGAGCCACAGAGTTCAGCGATTAAAAGCTTGCAGGAACAAAAAGATACTAGCTGTGCACCAAAGAGCTAGCAAAAGAAGGCAGCTATTTTTCAGAAAGAGCTTTCCACAATCTAGGCATCACCATGGAGATAACCTAGTATCTTTCGCCTCCTCATCTTTTGCACCTCTGAGGCTGATGGGACATAACAGGGGGCCTCTGATACCGATCTTAACTCCTAGGTGTAAGTGATTCTAAAGATGCTCTGTTCCTGCTTCAAAGCCATTAGGGGTTTGAATATTTTTTAACTGTAGAGCAGACTTTCTCAACCTTGGCTCCCCAGGTGTGATTGGACTACAACTCTCTTCATCCATGACCACTGGTCCTAATAGGTAGGGATAACAGGAGTTGCAGCCCAACAACAGATAGGGATCCAAGGTTGAGAAAGGCTGATCTAGAGACAGTGGTGGAGCTTCATGCTCTGGCATGGGGGGGGGCAGAGAGCAGGCGGGGATGGGGCTGGTGCATGTCCTGGGGGCGGGGCATGCCACCTGCAGGGGCGGGGCACCCAGTGGGGGCAGGCAGCCACAATGGCACCCTGGGGATCACGCTGCCAGGGGACCCCTCTTCCTCCACCAGTGTCTAGAGAGATTCGTTAAAACATGCAGAAAGAATCTCCCTCCCCTACATAACCCGCCCCATTTGAAATCTAGAAATCATGGACTTTCAGAGAGGGTTACAGTCTTAAAACAGTGAGGAAAATAATGAAAATGGAAGAAGAAAGAATGAGCTTAAATGAATCCAGATATGATTTGTTACTGTCTGTGATATACCCTGGGGTTCTGGTAAACAGCAGTTTTACAATGAAACAATGGCTTAATTTTGCTTTTGCTTTTCACTTGTTATGAGTCAACAGGACTTTTTAAAGGAGCTGACTCAACCCTCACTGCTAGTCTTAAATAAAGTCGCTGGAAGCCACAGGAAGGGATAGTGCCTTTGCGCTTGGTCTTGTTTGTGAGTTTCCCATGGGCATCTAGGTGGGTCATTGGCTTGATCTTCTCATGCCCTTACCATGAAACAGCAACAGCTCAGTGGTGCAGCATACAATCACTGGTTAAATCCCTGGCATCTTCAGTCAGGTAGCAGAAGAAGCAAAGACTCCTGAAACCCTGGAGATCTGAGATCATGGTCAGCTGCCGCCAGCCAGAGTAGACAGTACTGGGTTAGATGTGCCAATGGCATTACACATACAACTTGTATCTTGCCCTGCATACAGAATAGCTTTTATTCAAGTATACTTCTTGACCAGTTTTTATCAATAGAATTAAATGAGGCAAATAAGTAATCTTCCTTGCTTCCCATGTATCCTCTGAAGAAATCCGTTTATTATTCAGTTGGCTGGTCATATATCAATACACGATCTTATTAGACTCAAATGTAACTGTCAATTGCCACTGCTGTAAGTATTGGATATCTTGTGCTAGAAAAAGCAGAAATAATAAGCATGGAAAATATCAATATGGATTAATGTGAGGGCCATAGAGCTGAGGATTTATTAATTTCAGTTTGGTTGCATAATGCAAAGTTGTAAAGTGAGATAGATTCATGATTAAAATATCATTGATCTAGCTGGAGTTCATTGAAGATTGTTGCAAGATTTTGGGAGGGGCTGTATTTAAACACTTCCCATTAGAAGCTTAAGCATTTTTTATTTCTTACGTTTCTGTGCCACTTCAGAGAACAGCTGTTAGAATGGTTTATATCCAAATAAAGTAACATACAAAAATGAGATAGAAAAAGGAACACAATCAATAGAATGCTCTATATAATATGCTCTCTCTCTGCAATGTAAGTTGAACAGTTAATATGTTGTTTTGTTGTTGTTTAGTCATTTAGTCGTGTCCGACTCTTTGTGAACGAATGAACCAGAGCATGCCAGGCACTCCTGTCTTCCACTGCCTCCCCACAGTTTGGTCAAACTCATGCTGGTAGCTTCGAGAACACTGTCCAACCATCTCGTCCTCTGTCGTCCCCTTCTCCTTGTGCCCTCCATCTTTCCCAACATCAGGGAACAGTTAATATACTGTATATAAAAACCAGTTCAAACGAGATGTGCACATTCACTAGGACTGATGAAAAATGTGCATGTAATCTGTCCATAAAGTGGGAATTGTGCACATTTCCCCATCAATATACATAATTTCCAACAGGCCTGGCATATGTGCATGTATCACTTGAATTTTGCATGTTTGGTTGCCATGATACATAACCTCCAGTGGACTTCAGGGAATATGCAAATCCCAGTTGATTTTGTACATTTTCTGGCCAATGTGAATATTTTCCAGTCAGTATGCATAGTTTCCAAGAAACATGCTCTTAAAACACACACACACATCACTTCAGGGGTGTTCAGTGTGTGCCCTCCAGGCTACTTCTGGCCCACTGCCAAATTGTACATACCCCCCCCAATGCCCTCCACTGATCAGCTGAGCAATGGAAAGAAAGGGTGGGGCTCCAGATAAAGATTAACATTTTTCATGCAGTTCAGCCTCCTTTTCCCCACTCTTAAAAACACACCAGCCCTGCATCTGTTCTTTGAAAACACCTTTGGTGTATTACTAGAAGCAACATACTATTCCATGTGCCTCACTGTTTCAAAGGTAACGAATTAGAGGAAGAATAGAATACACCTTGCATATACAAATGCAGCATGAAGAATGCATATCTGAAGTTACCATTATGCATTACCAACAGATCTGTCTGCCCCTGACTTCCATGAAATTCAAGGTAAGAAGAATGCTAAATGAATGCATGGTGGATCTAATCACACGGCTCCAAAATGAGTAGCATTTTTTTCCTGGTTTTGCAAGATCAGTGTCTTTTTGCAGCACATCCCAATTTTAGATTTTCAAAAAGCTGAAATAAACGTACAACCAGTGGCAGCTAGATTACTGGACTTTATTATTATTATTATTATTCTAGATATGATGGGCATGGCATTAAAGCTTGCAAGCCTAAAGGAGTTTGTATCCCAGAGTTTGAATCTCTGCTAAACAGCTGGTTGCAGCACTACTTAAAATACATGTTAAATAAATCGTGATTTATTTAGGAGAAAGCATCTCATTCTTCCAATGCCCAGTGTCTTTGTACCTCCAACTGCTTCTTGCAGTATACATTTTAACCTGCTGGTGTTTGAAAACCATTATTTGTACTTCTATGGCATGAAAGGAGGGGAACCCAACCAACTGCTGACACTTATGTAATGTACATAAAATGGAAAGGGGAAAAATATATCACGCTGATCCAAAGTTCCATGGTCACTCAGATAGGCATATAAACTCTCATACATGTGGGCTTCTCCATTCATTCAATATATGCACCTTTGTCCACAAGGGACTCAGATAGATCTGCAGTGTGTTGCTAATGTGTGTGCAGAGAAGGGACATAAATACTGGTGATTATAAAGGTTCACAACTAAAATCTATGATTAGTTGCACATCAGTAGAAATTGCTTTGGGGGTTTTTTGTTGGATTTTGTAGAAATTGTGTTGTTGCTTTTAAAAGTTTATTTGTACTTCATTTTTTAAATATGTGGTACTTCAAGCTGCGTAGTGGCTTATACCTTTGTATAATAAATAAAATAAGTGCCTGAGGCAGTAGGAGCAGGGATTTGAATGCACTTGGCCCCATGCTTACTTGCCTCAACCTGCCACTCACTTGCCCCTGTCACCATCACATGAAGAAGGAAGCCGTAGCACCTTGGGAAATCTAGGAGTAGGAAGGTGACAGAAACATTGATGGAGGGGACAGGGGTATCAGGCTTGTCCCTGTTGCACAATGCCCTCCCCCCATATATGCTGTATTGTATATGCATCATCTGAAGAAGGCTTCTGTTGTTCAATAATTTGTGATGTTTGCTTGTTATAGTACTTTAAAGGAGCAAACCACCTTGGGGCAAATATCCTAAATAAATAAACAGCATTCCTAAATGGCAGGAACTCAAAATTTTCCTTTTCTCTGCAGCGTATTTAAAAAGACAATCCAAACTCACACGCAAAAAGGACTGTGGTTCAGGACCAATAGCCGAATGTGTTGTGCAATGCCACAGAATTCATATCACAGCAGGACTTTGGGATTCAGTTAAGGAAATCAATGGAACGGGGTTCCCATTTTGTGTTTCAACAAAAAAAGGTGTGCCATTCTGATTTACAGGCTGAATAGCAACCTCTAGCTATTATATCACTCCAAAATGTTGCAGCAGCTTAGATAGGAAAGTTATAGGAATCTCCCCAACATTTTCAGCAGTGGGTTTTCTACAGACTTTGGCAAAAGAATGATTGGGCAATTCTTAATTTTGTTGGCACCTTTATTGTTTGCCCTTCAGTTTGGCATAGACCTCTACATACACATCAGAAAGGGAATATATGGGGGGCAATGAATGTACATAAACATGAAGCAATGAGCCCATCTTCAGAGCTATAAAGAAATGCTGTAAAGGCAAAGCCAGAGATATGATTTGTCTGATCTTATAACTAGAAGTAATACTGACAGGAGCAAGAACACTGTAAATACTGAGGAAAGGACATGAAATATTTCCTTCTGTGGCTGTAGAAAGATCTACAGGGAAGGGAGATATAACACAGAGTCAACAAAGAATATTATAAGATCACTTCAGAAAACAACAGGAGGGAGGGAGCCTATGAAAATATTGAACAGGAAATCCTTTTCTTGCGGGAATAGCTGAAAGCGTTAATAGTGTGTTATGGACAGGTTACCCCAAAAACAAGGAGGCAAGAGGAAATAAAAATCAACTGTGAATATTGATATGGTTGGCATGGGAACCCAGGCTGCCAGAAAA